GATATTATTGATATTTTTGTCAATATAAGAATACAGATAAAATTAAATTATTAGAAGAATTTTTTGTATTACGAAGTAACAAAAAAAAAATTGGTTTAATTTTTATTTTGAGTCTTAATTGAAACGTCAAAAACACGTATTTTAAACTGAAATTGTATTTATAGTCCAGTCGTCAGAGATTTGATCTCAAAAACTCATACAAATACGCTTGAGATACAATCAACAAAGTTTTGCTGAGAATGACACGTTTGAGACTCCAAAATAGTTTCAAAAAACCGATTTACCAAATCTGTACACCTTAGAAAAAAATGTTTCGAATAAAAAATGTAGCTGAGATCATTCTGAACAAAATATTTCTTAGCACTTTTTGTGGAGAATAAATCGTAAAGTCAGAAAAAAAAACTTAACGCGACCGGTGATTTTGAATGTCAGTTAAGCGCCCAAAATTAATTTTAAATAGTTTGTATTCAAAAGTCGACGGTAAAAATTCAATATATTATGTCCTATTTACAAAAATCAAAATGCATTTTTAAGGTCAGGAGTGTAGATTTCGTATGCACTTTTTGTATTTTGTCGCAAATGAATAAGTTTTTATAAAGGTGTTTTTATAAATAAATTTTTCACAATTTTTGCCATTTTTTACGATTCTCAAGAGATCAATAAAATTATCACTAACATTGACCAGTTGTAGCAGAATTTTTATTGCTAGAGCCTAATTTTTAAAATATAAAATATGAAATTTTCATTTTGAGTTTTGGTTTGGAAAATTCAGCGATCTACTTTAAAAAATGAAAGGCAAATATCGAGCACAATTTTAACAATTAAATATTGCACAAGTACTTTCGCTTACTACAGCATCTTCAGGGGCATTTCGTCAAATTTGGGTTATCCAGCAAGCGTAGAATGTGGTAAACATGAATTTTAACATAAAATTGTACAAAACACTACACTAAAACAAGGACAAACAGTTTAAAATTAATTAAAATGGTTCTACGCTTTACATTCTTTGTTAGTAACAGAAGAGAGATCCCTCATCATTCTCTCTCCTATTACTGACAAAGAATGTCAAGCATAGAACCATTTTAATTAATTTTAAACTGTTTGTCCTTGTTTTAGTGTAGTGTTTTGTACAAATTTATGTTTATCACATTCTACGCTTGCTGGATAACCCAAATTTGACGAAATGCCCCTGAAGATGCTGTAGTAAACGAAAGTACTTGGGCAAGATTTAATTATTAAAATTGTGCTCGATATTTGCCTTTCATTTTTCAAAGTTTATTTATTCGAGTATTCAACCTTATATCAGTTTATTTATGTAACACCTTTATAAAAACTGAGTTCGTTTGCGACAAAACACAAAAATTGTATAAGAAAGCTATACTTTTAACCTTTAAAACGCATTTTGATTTTTGTATGATATGACGCGCCTGTCGGTTCAAGCGTTGTTTCTGAGAGAACGGTACTATAGGATGTTCATGAAAAGTGATATTAAATAATTTTGTACAAAATTATCTAAGCTACATTTTTTTCTACGACGTAGAGATTATTGGTAATTCAATTTTTTTCATTCCTTCTCCCTCCCATACGAGGGGGTTTAACGAAAAAGCAGGGGGTAGGAGTGGTAAAATTTTTTTGCCTACTTTTTGGGGTGTCAAAATGGACATTTTCAGCAAAATTCAGCTTGTTTGTATTATTTTTAGAGGTTCGGTGGCATGTTCGTCTCTAACGACTGAAGTATAATTCCCAATAAAAATAGTAAACACAAGGTCGCTTGCATAATTAAGTCTACAAGATATTGGTTCTTAATTTAAATATTTCATAAAGTAATTTTTGTTGTTTAATTTTACTTTTTAATTTAAAACTTAAACTTAAACTTAAAACTTAAAACTTTTTAATTTAAACCAGCAATTAAAAAACGATTTTTTTCTGATATTTCTTATAGTATGCATTGTAAAAATTCAAAGAAACAGAATTGAACACCTTTCACATAACGACCTGCTCGATGATTACTTTCATTTAAAATTTTTGGTAGGGTTGGTACAATTTATGTATGATTTAAAATTTTTTGACTTCTCGATTGAAATATGTCTCACCTAAAGTGAGTTTTTTATTTAGAATTTCCGCATCAACCATTAAAGGTTATTAGCGGGTTTTACAGATTTTACAGTTGTTATTAAATATACTAATTACAAATTTCGTATTAAATTACAAATAATAAATTACAAATTACAAAAAGATACATATAATATAACTTAAATTTTGTGTAGTAAACGTATGTCTTTAAGGAATTTGATTGTATTTGATATATTACTGTTTAAAATATTTTTAAGTTTCTTTGCTTCTTCTGGTAAGTTGTTGATGGCTCTTTCGTAGAAATGAAGAAGACATTGAATCAATACATGTTGACCAGTTATTGGACATTCACAATAGGAACATTTAGGTGGTAGTTCTTTTTTTATGAGATGCTGGTGAGTTACGCTGTATGTCCAATTCTTAGTCGGTTTATAATCACTTGTTGCCTTCTGTTTTCTGGAAATTGTAGTTTAGTGCCAATCCTAGTTTTCACGTTTTTAAGGTTAGCCTTATTAGAATTCCACATTTGTTGCCAATTTTATACACAGTGCTGTTTAATATTGAGCTGGATATCACTGAATGGAATTGTAGTCATAATTTCAGTTTGCTCGTCAGTAGCAGCTTTCTTTGCTAATTCATCTACTTTTTCATTTTCTGCCATACCTGTATGTGATGGTACCCAAAGAAATGTAACGTTCACGTGTCTGTTTTGTAGGTGACAAAGTGCTAATTGTATTTGTTGCAGGATAGCATGTACTGGATATATTTACCTTAAGCTCTGAAGAACAGATAAAGAGTCAGTAATGATAAGAAAATCTGAACTTGCATGACTCTTACACATGTCTAAAGCCTTTAAAATGGCGATTGCTTCTCCCGTGAAAATGCTGCAGAATTGAGGGATGCAAACTGCATATTCAGATTTTCCTAGAATAAAGGACGCTGCGTGTCCGTTTTCAGTTCTTGACGCATAAGTAAAAATCTTGTTATGGCCAGTGTATTCTAATATCCGTTCTTGATATAATTTGTTAATGATTATGGGATTTGTGGTACTCTTTGGATAGGTCGTGAGAGATAGATCAATAGTGGAAAAATTAATAGTTCAGGAAGGTATAATTCGTTTTGTAGGGTAAGAATGTGTTAGCTGCTCCATGTCAAAACCATATTTCGTTAGACGTTCTTTAAGGGGTGGATATTTCATTTGTTGATGGCAATGAGTAGGTGGATATATTTTATAAAGAAGTGGATAGTTTGTGTTATTAGGCTTGGAAGACAATCTCGCGGCATAATTTAAAGAAATGTGTTGTGTTCTTATTGATAGGGGAGATTCATCTAGGATAACCTGAAAACTTGAAACAGGACTAGTTCGGTAAGCACCCAGAATTAGTCTTAAACATGTGTTTTGTATAATGTCTAGTTTTTTAAGTATATAATTACTCGCAGTTGAATAGCATATTGCACCATAATCCAGTTTACTTCGGAATAATGATTGGTATACATGCAGCAATTTTATGGTGTCCGCTCCCCAAGATCGGTTTGATAGCATTTTAAGGAGATTTATTTTAGATTCGCAGGATACGACTAGCTTTTTAATATGTTCTGCCCATGTTAACTGACTGTCCAGTCTCAGGCCAAGAAAGTCAATGCTCTCTACTTATTTTAGGTTGATACCATTTAGAGTAAGTGTTGTTTTGCAATTAGTTTTTCTTTTATTGAATACGATGAAACGAGATTTATCACCTGAGAACGTAAAACCAGTCTTTTGTGACCAGTCTTTTAGTTTATGCAGAAATGATTGAAAAATTTTTAAACCTAGTGTAATATTGCAGCTACTAGTATATAAAACTAAGTCATCTGCATACAGACCTGCTTTCAAAGGTAGCTTTGAAATCAGGTCACGTTCTTAAAAACTAAACGTAACGCCTATGTTTTGCTAGCGTCAATTTCGAGTAATGTCAATTAAAAAAATTTGCAACATTAATAGGAAACTTTATTAAGTAAAACATAAAAAAATATATCTAAATTTTATATTAATAAATTCATAATTACAAGCAGTTACAATCAGTTATAACTATTAATGTTCAAAACTTTAATAACTTAAATGTTCAAAATGGTATCAAACAACGTCCATACAGTTATAAAGTCCCTGTTCGAAATTACGAAGAACTTTTTGGACAATTTTAGGGGTTACTAAATTCATGCATTATTCGTTATCTTAGTTTTTGCAATAAAGCTGGAATGGTATTCTATAACTCCATATGAAGAAGTTCATGAGAGTTAAGTCCTGATTTTGCTCTCCAATCAATAAGCCACCGATTTAACTCTTCTGGACTGTCTTTAGATAGGGTTATTTAAAAAGCAAGATTTATAATATTATTCCAGCGTTATGGGAAGAACTAAAATAACGTTTTGCAATTTCAAATAGAGATTTTATAATTGTAAGGACGTTGCTCGATATTTTTTTGAACATTTAAGTAAATAATTATAGCTGATGAGTAAACTGTTATAATTATATAAATATAAATTTATTAATTTTAATTTAGTTCATTTAATTAATTACGTTATATTTAATAAACTTTCTTATTAATGTAGCATATTTCATTCTTATGTAGTTTTTGACATGACTCGAAATTGACGCTAGAAAAACAGAGGCGTTACGTTTAGTTTTTAAGAGGTTTAACACTTTCAATAAACTGATACTTTTTCACATGATTATATTCCCTATTTAAAATTTAAAGGTTGGGGTACTGGAAGTGAGGAGTTGACAATTGACAGATATCTATATCGTCAAAAGATGACCCGTTTAGAATAAAAATCGACCTGTTTTACTATTTTCACAAAATTCTATGAATGTTGCCAAATATCAGGGTGGACTCTTTTGAGTGGCAAACCCTGTATATAGAAAATAAATAAATATATTCGCTGCTTACCTTCTTCTTCTAGAGGATACAACGTGTCTATCTGTTCTTGACCTTCAGCTTCTCCGTGTTTGATAATTTCTTCCATCTCTCTAACAACGTCGAGACCTTAAATAGAAAGATATTGTACTATAAGTATAAAAATACATTATTATTTTATTATATTTTATAAAAAAAATTCTGTCCCGGCCTCTTTTTCTGCCGTGATAAGGTAAAAAGCAGTAATTGCGAAAATAATGGTTTTGAGCTATTTGCAATTGAGGATTTTTTCTTCCTCACAATTTATTATTTATTAAATTTAAGTAGAAAAACATTAAAAAACATTAAAAAATATGTCTTAATTTTTGACAAACAAAACAATTGTGTTACTTGGTTTTTAGCTGAAAATTCAGCAGTTACTGCTGTTTACCATAATAATCAAGTTGTTTTCTTAAGCAGTAAAAATGTAAAATTTTCAGCTTTATTTAATTATTGGTTTTGAAAATAAAACATAAATGCAGAATAAAGCGGTAGTATAATCAAATTAAAAATAAAATGTAATTCACATTAATGGAAGAGAAAAAAATCATAATTAATTACATAATATTGAAAAAACTATTCGAAATTTATCAAGTCTTCTACATCATCATCTTTTAATGAATGCCAAAAAAGCCGTATGTTTTGAGGCCTAAGGGGGCACAGTTGAGAAATTATACTTTATTTCTTTTGCGTAGGGACACCTCTACAATTATCGCCTAGTTTACTAGGAATTTCTAGTTTTAAATTTTCTTTAAGAAAATTATATTCTTTAAAATTTTTGTCCTTAATATTATTTTTATAAAAAAGTAATCTACTGCCTCGTCTGAAATGTACCACAGATATATCGCAAAGGAAAGGTCTATTTGTTTTTTTATTTGACTTTTGAATATCCAGATTTCCAATTTTAAACATCTTTATTTTTCAAACAAATTGCGTTCATTTTTTCCCATTTGAATTTTCTACAGCCTTAATAAAATCGTTGATGTAAGCATTTCCTTTATTTGTGATCTTCATACTGTGTTCCACACCGTGATGAACTGCATCCGCACTCATGAAGGTGTGGCCTGTCTCAAAATATTTTAGGGTAATTTGAGAGGTGGCAATTGTTTTTGTATTAACCATTATGACAATCATGGTAAATAAGCTCCAAATTTTATTTTGGGCTGAGCAATTGTCTGTCCAATACAATACTTTAACGATGTCTCTTTCTTTAACTAAAGCTCTACAATATGCAGATGCAACTTCCTCTGCCTTTCTTCCAACCACTCCTTCATGTCACAAGACCAATATGTTTTGTTAACGCTTCTACTCTTCTTGTCTGCCATTGATGCAAAGGTTAGATGAAAAGCCACAAGTCGTCTTGTAAAATATGTCTTCTGGCTTCCGGGAATCCTTGGTAGCATTATAACTTTCTGTAAGTCTACACTCCTTACTATTTCAGTTTCCACTTTTTCCTGTGCTACATCCTGTTTGTAGTCAACTCTTCCTCTTTTAGCCTTTTCAGAGTACTGTTGCCATTTTATGCAAGATGTACAAGATGCTTGAAACTTAATGCTTGCAGACTCAAGAGATAAGAGACTTAGTTTAGAACCAGCTGTTGGATTAATAGTATTTGTTCCGTGTATTTTTTTGATCTTCATTAGAACCTTCCACAATTTCACTGTTTTCACCTGTTATGGATATTGCCTCATTATGAGATTTTAAATGCTGAATATGCAACATACAGTAGTCGCACTCCTCATTTCTTAATTTTGTAAAGCTAATGTTGATGTCGGACACCACTTTTCGGTAGGTGGAATAGCTAACTTTATTTTCCGAATATTTCTGAAGGTAATCAGCATGCATACTTCGAATTGTGATATCGTTAGATAAATACAAACGATTAGGAGCATGTTCTCTTCGGTAGTGGCTTATACATGGATGAAACGATGAAATATGATGTACCAAAATTTGACGATTGCATTTGTTAGACGGTGCTGTTAATCCCCGTCTATCTTTATTTGGGGTTATTGATTCCGGTCTTGAATTGCGTAACATCGTTGTGATAAACTTATCGTTTTTTTTTGGCATAGCTAGGGGTTTTTAAAAATAATTTTTTACATTCTATGTATGTGCGTTTTCATCTGGCAACGTGTAGATTAAAGTTCTACTTCTCTTTCTTACTTCCACCTTAGTTGTTCCACGTGCTTTATCTTTTTGAATAATAATGTATCCAAGCTCTTCTTGCATTGTAATCCATTTTATAGAATTTATTCCAAATGGCTACTCTTCTTTCCTCTTTTATGTTTTTCTACACATATCTTCCTGTCTCTCAATATAATAAAAATTGGTACTATAGCAGAAACTGGTGTAGACATATTACTCGTTTATAACAAAAAAGCGTTAATTTTAAAAACATATAAGTACCGACCGTCTTGAGCTGATACTTCTGCTTGTGTTACGAAGGACACTAAATATTTATCCCGTGAGGTTAACATGTTATTTAAACAGTTTTGGTGCACTCCACAAAATACAACACCTTACGTACACTCCAAACGGTAGACTAAACAAGTCTAAGTACGGGCTGAAACTGCACACTAAACTTTCTGCGTTATGCAGTGTGTTTATTAAGTAATGTATTAGGTAATGTTTAAGTAAATGGCAGTATCTGAGAAGATACTTCTAATAATTTTCAGAATTAACAACTGTAAGTTGGCTACATTTGGCGCAACTCAACGACTGTAAATTATCGTAAAATACGATTTAAATATATTACAATTAGGATATATATATATATATATATATATATATATATATATATATATATATATATATGGAAAATTTTATAGATTTAGTATATATAATTATATTTTAACATTTTTTAACATTCTCAGTAGATTTTAAAATTTAAGTTTATTAAGAATTCTTGCAGTAAATTTAGAATTGTTAAAATGTATTGAATTATTGCACAAACTTATATTTTTAACTTTATTGCAGAAAAAATGCTGAAAATCATTTTTTAATGTAAATAAACAAATTTTAAAATTATTTTTAATTCTGATAGTTGATATTGATGTTCTATGAATGCATATACGATTAGTATATTATAACTGTTTGTATGAGTTTATGCGAAACGAAAATAATAAATAGATGTGAAGTTAGATTGTAAACGTCACTTTATGTTTAAATGAACCAACACTGCAGTGGAGGTAGAGTTTTATAAAACATTTTTTATACGGTATAGTGTAACTGTTTTTATGGGAAAAATAAAACCGTTGTGTCTACCACTCTTCTTAAAATTTCATCATATTTTCTTACCTATAGACCTTCCTAACTTAATAAATATATAATAATTGAAATAATTATTTCAAAATCAAAACAAGCCAAAGTGATTCAGCTGTTCTCGAATTATTATAAAAAAGCTATAAAAACATAAAGGAGATAAAAAATATCTCCTAAGTTGGACCAATAAATACACTTTTACAAAATTTTATGAAAGTCAGTTCAGTGGTTTCTGAATATTAGCTTGGACAAACACCGTATTTTTGTTTTTGAGTGAATCCAAATTACAGTCAAATTTAAGAGAAAATATTTACATTTACTCAACGGTTGTTTTAATATCTAGATATTAGCAATATCATCATAACTGGCTCGACAACCCTTTTTGGGTCTTGGCCTGTTCTAGGACTTTTCTTTGAAAGGTGACTAATAATCTTTTCTCTTTTAGGAAGTGTCCAGGTTTCTGAACTAAATGTATGATTTGAATAACTACCGACTTTATTAGGGTTTTATATATTTGGCATTTTGTTTTTCTTGCAACGTTATCTGATTTTAGTTGCTCAATTAGTCGGTAGTAACATTTGTTGACTATGAAAATTTGCCTCTTCACTTTCTCTGCAACGTCATTATCAGATGTAACTAAGGATAATACGTATTTAACTCAATACAATTTTGTTTGAGTATTATTAATTAACTCAATGCAATATTCAGTCAATATATGCCTCAATGCTGTATTCTCCTATTGTTAGATTTTGTAGCTGTCTTATTTCTACGTTTTTACTTGAATGCATATATTTTGTTTTAGCCTGATTGACTTTAAGGCCACTATTTTGTGCAGCTCGTTCTATTTGATTAAATCTATCTAGAATAGCATTTCCCTTCTTGACCTTGACCTTATCAACATCATCAGCAAACGGTAGTATTTGCACACTTTTAGTAATTATTGTTCCTCGAGTATTGACTGTTGCATCTCTTATTATTTTATCTGTAGCATAAATAATTCCTTGAAGTTTTTTTTTATTTTTATTTATCCGCATCAACTACTAGGGTTATTAGCGGTAGGTTTATGATACAAATAGAGAAAATAAGATACATTTTAAAAGTCATGACTTACAACAATATGGTATTATGTACATGTATGTAAATGTAACAAAAATTAAATCACAATTTATTATAGAGTTTACAGTATTTTAAAAAAGACAGAACTTCATTGAATTTTGTTACCAGTGCTTCATTCAGGCTGTTGGGTATCTTGAATATCGCCTTAGCTGATGTGTACTCTGGACATTCTATTAATATATGGTTGACTGTGAAAGGTGTCTGCCATCTTTGGTACATTGGTAGTGGTTCTTTGAAGATTATGTAGCCGTCTGTAAGTCGTGTATGCCCAAGTCGGAGTCTGCGGATAATTACCTGGTCTTTTCGTTTTGGTGGTATACAAAGATTTTTTGAGGATACGTCTGGTTTGATATTTTTAAGATTTGTATTTGTTTGATCCCATATTTCTTGCCATATTTTATTTACATGAGTCTTAAATAAAGTCTTAGTATCTGATATTGGTATATCTGTTGTAGTCGGAATGTTCACATTGTTTTTTGCTTCAAACGCTGTTTTGTCTGCTAGCTCATTACTAGATATTCCGACATGAGATGGGACCCACATAAATGATATAACTTTCCCAGAAAATTGGAGCTGTTGCAACGCGTCCTTAATTAGGAATAGATTGATGTGTGTGGGATAAACATGTTTAATGGCATGCAAAGAGCTTAATGAATCTGATAATATTAGTATTTGTTTTTCATTTATGGTTTTACAATGATTTAGTGCGTCAA